TTGCGTAACAGTTAGATGAACGATTAAATCCTCGTTACAACTATATTAGTGGCGTACTAGAGCAATGAGACAGCCATTCATATCCATTATCAGACGTACAAATACGTAGAAATACGGTAATAAAAATGTAGTAGATGCTTGTAAGCATACAAAAGCACAACTGTTTTATTGAGAAACATAATAAAACTGAAACATGAAATGCTGGCACTTTTATTATATTAGGAGCACACGAATGCACTTCTATTCTTTGCATAACAGTTAAAAGAACGAATAAACGCCCGTTATTACTGAATTATTGGCGTTCTATAACAATAACACAGCACTTGTATCCATTACAGACACACAAAGACATACAAATGTGGCAGTAATAACTTGCAAGCATACGAAAACACAACTATTTTATTGAGAACGATAATAATATGATTGATGTAAAATTCAATAATAATTTTTCAACCATGAGAATATATTATTTTTCCAGTACATAAAATAAAAAATAATTAAATCTAGAAAAGTTAGAAAACTTGTTCGAATAGTGTTACTGGTTGTATCCGCGCGCTTATCGAGCCCCCCTGCAATTTTTAATTTTTTATCGCGTCGTTAACGACTGATTTTACCACGCTAACGAACCCTTCCACCTTCGCCGATAAAGGACGGATCGCAGATTTGGTAAAACCGGAATTTTATTTCCCTTATCGTGTCTCCCCCGCGCGTTCTCCCGTCAGGCATCTCGTTTCTCATTAATTCAGAGAGGAGAGAAACGATCGTATCTCGTCCCGTTAACGCGGCAATATATCTCTGATATATCGTCGAATGGTTCCATCGCACGCAAACAATTTCCCGCGTCGCGACAAAATTAAAGTGGAGAAACGAAAGCGACGCGAGCACGTGGACCGAAACGATGCCAAGAAAATCGTACGATCCCCGCGTGGATCGATACGAGCAAAGTACAGCGATTCGACCGTTTGCAATAGCAAACCATTAAAATTATATCACAGAGTAATTTCCATTGGATCAAAAAAAAAAAAAAACGCAATTACTGACGTCTCGACAGTCTCACTTTTATCGAAAACGTGTGAAACAATGGGAGAATCGAATTACAGTGGAATTTTTCCCGAGTTAGGCCGTGGAGAATTTCCGATGGAGTTTCCTTATCCATATCGCGAAGCCTTTCCGCGCGTCTGCGGTTTCCCGATCGAAGCATTGTGCTCGCGTTGTATCGCGCGTTTTTCCCCCCCCCCTCGTTCCTCCCCCCGCGCCGCGTCGAACACTCTCAATTCGAGCTGATTGAATCGGCCGATCGACTCCGCGCCAGACGAACCATATTCATCGCGATCCGCGTGATTTTCACCGCGCCACCGCGCCATTATTCCCTTTCATTATCATCGCCGCGCGTTACGGTCACGCGGGAACCGCCGCGGAATCGAAAGGATTCACCTCGAACACCCTGCAACTGAAATGTAATATCCAGACGATTAGAAAAACTGGAAAAATTCGCTGGAAATAGTATACGTTTGCGAGAAGTTGGCTAGAGGATCGATGATTGGATGTCCACGTATCGTCGCTATTGGCTGAAACGACGAAATTGAAAGGGTGACAACTTCTCGCGAATGCACAGTAGATCGTAAACACGATAGACAGTTTTACGGTTGCTTTTTGTTGGATCTGGGTGATCAGATTAAAAGATTCAGTGCAAATGCAACGAGAAATGCATCACTGGAAATATGTACATGTACTATGCGTTCGTGAGAAGTTGAATAGCGAAAGGAATGCGGGTCTGATTGGTGATTAGATGTCCACGTATCGTCGCTATTGGCTGAAACGACGAAAGTGAAAGGGTGACGTCACAGTTGTCAACTTCTCGCGAATGCACAGTAGATCGTAAACATGATAGACGACAGTTTTACGGTTGCTTTTTGTTGGATCTAGGTGATCAGATTAAAAGATTCAACGAGAAACGAATCTCACTACAATTACACAAATTGCAAATAGACAATGACACACAGGAAATAGTAACTGAAACGTGGCTAATAACACAATCTATTTTAACACTTTCATCCCAACCGCGAATATTTTAAGCAATCGATAGCAGTTTTTATGATCTTCACTGATCCAAAGACGTCTTGCGTATCGTGAACGCCTCGTTGAGAAATCCATCGGCGCCGCTGTCCGAAAGTCGAGTAGATTTTCGAGAAACGCCGGTGCAACGGGAAGTTGGACGGCTGCCAGCCGAAAGAAAATCTCGAGCCCGAGGGTTTAATTGGCTTAATTTCCTCGTAGCTCGAGAAAAGCTTAGAGAAGCGAAACACGTTTTCTGCCTACTTCTTTCTCGCGAAACAAAAATGTTGCTCCGTTTCTAGGACAATTGCTCCTCCCTTCGGTTTCCTTTTATCTTGCATCTTCGTTCCCTAGCATCCCTCAAGAATTTGGACGATAAAAGAAACGAGCAACGTCATGATACATCGCAAACAGAAATATCCCAGTTTTTGAAAGAAGCTGGACGTAAAATTTTAATCGACCTCTTAACGAACTCTTTGTCTCGTCAGCTGGGAACAGTCGCGAGGTTCGCCTTTCAGTCGTGAGATCTTTGTCAGCGTTTGGATCCATCGCTTTAGAACCGCCGCGAATAATTGAAACGTGGACCGCGGCCAATTATCGTCGCTGAACATCAAAGCGCGCCTCGCGTACCGTCTGTAAACCGAGTAATTTTCATCGTCTTGAGGCCCGGGGCGTTGTTATTTAATTAATTATCGGGAAGACGCGTTCCGCCGCGCGGACCGAGAAATGAAATTTTCCGGAAAAAGTCGACGCGCTTCGAAACGGCCCGCCGTTTCTCCGCCGCCCCGTAAAAGCGAAACGGTCAATATTGACCAGGGACATTTGTCGTGTTCCACTTGGCGACGCAAAGAATCAAAGGAAATGGATTCCGCAGAGGAAAGCTCGGTCGTTACGCTCGAAACGTCCAGCGAATCAAAGAGGAATATAACGGACCGTGGAAACGAACCCCGGGTCCTGGAGAAATGATATCCAACGGTTTATCGAACGCGTATCGGAGCAACTAATTGCTGTTGTTTGGTCGGTTTTTCTCGATAACCAATCGAACCGTTGGATACCTTCTGGGCGTTCTTTGTCGCTGCGTTTGCGGACGTAATAGTCGACGGTCGTCCCTTTGCGCGCGGATGCATCGTTTAATGGAACACGCTGTCCGTAGCACGAACCCCTCCCGAAATACAAAAACTGAAACGCGAACGCGACCGCAGACGCGAAACCGGTGATTAAATCGTCTGGCCCATCGCGAAGGAAGCGGAAACGGATCGACGCATCCACCCTTTCGCGAGCGAAAATTGGAAAAAAAAAAATACTGTACACGAAAGGTACTGTTGTTGGCCACCTGCACAACGATTGGTGTTGAAAGAAACGTTCATTTTGTCACAGTGTTTCGAGATTTTTCCTTCAAACTTCCACCATTTTATAATAAATAATTATCTTTTAAAATCGGAGCTACTGTCTTATAGTTTAAGAAAATTGCAGTGAAAAATTACACGTCTGCTAGTTTCTAACAAATGTTTAGAGACCTCTTACGATAATAATTAATATTTTTATACAAAATTTTTCCAAAAAGTATTTCATGAAATGTTCAAAAAATTCTGGAAAATTGCCTTTATTTCACCACAGTGGTTTCCCTTAAAAACGACAGAGCATCAAGAAACATATTAACTCTGAGATTAATTTATACAGAGAATGATAAAACGGTTAACATCGTGTTAAATATCAACAGCTTGTCGCAATATAGACTTTATTTTTGAATTTACTAAATAAAGGGTCAGTCGTCGTGCTATGTAGCGCCAGCGAACGTAAGACGAAGGGAATTGGAGCGTGTAACGGTGAAACGAGAAGGAAATATCGAAGGGGATGGTTGAGACAAGGGTGTCGAGATAACCGAAGGACGAAACGTATCCAGGGGAAGGAAAGGACACGGTCCGTCGACACGGGGCGCGAGCATCGCGACGTAAACACGCAGCGTTTTCAACGGAATGTCAATATTCGACAGTTCAATTAATTCCCGATGTATCATCCCCGCGGGGTGCAGATGGAGGGCATTGTGTCCCCCGGGCAACGGTGCATTCCGACCGTGGCGAAAACCGCCAGCGGAATACACGGCTACGTGGCCGTGTCCGGAGGGTTGGCTCTCGCTCGATATTGTCTCCTCGTAAGTGCCACGGGAAAATGCGCTTGACACTTATGAGGCTACATTTCTCGAAGCTGCTTCCTCCTCTGCCGGTTTTCGCCGCTTTTTCTCCGCGTCGTGTCCCCGGGACACCGTTCTTGCCTGCAAAAGACGCATGTCCGGAATGCACCCGGCTCGCGGGGCGAAACCGACGACGCATCCACTGTTTCCCCGTCGATAACAACGGGAATTCTTTCTTTTCACGCGTTTCTTAGACGCTGCTCGTCCCGATCCGCATTCCGGGCCCCGAGCGCGACCGATTTTCATTTTATTCGAGCCGGCAAATGGTCCTGAGCGATAGAAAAATGCACGGAAAACGATTTCGAAATATATACGCTTCTCGCTCTGGCCAACAGAGGGCTACGCTATCAACTCTCTCGCAAATACTCGACTACTTATTCCTATGTACACACTCGACTCGATCATTCAATGTCCCTGCGTCTGAGGCTTTTTAACACATTGACTGCCACGTCACCCACATATGGGTGACACGACTTTTCACCAAGGAGTCAAAACAATTAATTCTCAAGATCAGATGTCAAAGAAAATAAAGCTAGGCAGATCCCCTGAATTTTAACGAGTCTATAAAAATAAATTCCAAGACAAATTCTTGGTATGCTAGTTTGCAATTTTCTAAAAGCAAAATTGAATTTTCCTTTTACTTTTAGGGGTTTCGTTTGGCAGTCAACGTGTTAATGGTCTCACTTGGCGCACGATATAAAAATGTCTGTTTCAAGGACGATAAAATTGACAAGTCACAATCGTTTATTTATAGAACGGACGAGCCAGCAGCGAGAGCAGCGAGGACGGCGCAGGAAGCAGCGCGAGCACCTCGCGAGGAGCCGGAAGCGGCTTCGGGCTCGGGGGTGGCTGCACCGGAGGATGGCGCAGCGTCTTCGGGGCAGTCTCAGGACGAGAATTGAGGCTCTACGAGTGCGCGCCCTGGAGTCCAGAAGCCTGGGCTTCCCCCAGCATCACGTGTCCTCTGATAGCCACCAGGTAAGGAAGTAAATCAACATCGATGAGACTTTGTCGCGATTTTTCATCGAAATTCAAATTGAAATAGCTCGTAAACTTCGTAAATTATGTCCATCATCGACGAAAATGTAAAATATGGATGTTCAATGGCAATTATTGGAACAAGGATAGTCTCGAAATTTAGAAGTAAAAATTAGATATTATGATATTGTAGGATCGCGATTGGAAGATGGAATTTCTGAGCCGGTTAAACTAATATAAGAAGAAGAATATACACATTTTAAAAAAAATATAATAATGACGGTAACGACAACGATTACAAACCTCCAGAGTTATTCCTTCTCTCTGTTTCCCACAATATGTATTTAAATAAGAAGGGAAAGATATGTTAAAGATAGCGAAGGAGGAATGATCTGGCAGCTTTTCCAGAGATGTGAGCGAGTTTCGAATGTCTGGGGAGATACAGCGATGAACAGAATAGGGGAAGAGACTGTGAGTTCGAAGGTACGAAGGGACAAGTTGCGTGGGAATGAAACCACATGGTAAAGGGGTAGACAATAGACAGCGTTTTGAAAACGGTACAGAGACCCATCTTTGTTCCTCCATATAGAAAACATTTGATCACGTTTGAGGGTACAGTAAGAATAACAAACACTATCGAATACAGGAGGCTCGAATCATTTTAAATATTTTCTTAATTTTATTGTACGAGGGCGACGAACGACGAAAGTTCGGAATTGGGGTTAGCTTTTTCGCTGAATGGCGGTCCGCGGACGAAAAATGCTTTTGACTGGCACGAGATTCGAGCACGGCCTGTATCTCGCGGAAATCAAGCGTGCTATTCACCGCGCTATCGTTGCCACGGGTTTGACCATGTTCCTTCTCGGTATTTCTACCGTGAAACTTCGTTTGCTTCCATCGAACGCTCTCCGCGTCGAAATATTGTCGCAGCGACGCGTCAGAGACCAATTTTCGTTCGATTGTTTCCACAAGTTATCGCGGAGCCTGCAGATGGGGGAGGAAGAAGTTTTCAATCTGGAACTATTCGGATCGCATTCCGGAACGCGATCTAATATCCGCGAGGCGCCAAGAATAACAAAATCTGTACCTCTGCCTGAGTATACAATTCTTCTTGACACTAGTACTACCGACAATTATAGTGTATTTATTTGTACCAATGAAATTAAAACGATAGATACGCGAAGAAATGTATAATGCAATGGAAATAATTGTTTACTCATTCTTTTGTAAAAAATTGTGGTAAATTTTCAGAAATTCAGTCGAAATTTTATTGAAAATTATGAATGGGTCATTTTGACTGCTTTGGTAGTTCTAATGTTAATAATGAAGATCTTATATTATTTATTCGTGAAAATGCTATATCTGGAGCTCCGATTATTAAAGGAATTAGTGAATTACCAGATCCACCATAACTGTGAACAAAATTGCAAAGAACAGGTCAGTGAGAGCACGTGTATTTATATCAAAGTACCCGAATCAATGCATCGATTGCATCTGCATTTGTTAAGATAATCGTTCGACGTGAAATCGAGTTCGAAAACGGTGGGATGTTTGACGGGGGGTGGTCAGGGTCCTTGGAGCTTCGTAATTCTAAGCTCGAATCCGGCGGGTCTCGTTTGGCGCGCACCCGTCGCGTCGATAATTAGAATCGATAGGTCGCGAAACGAATCGACGTCGCGTTTTAGCGGTCCGCGCACGTAACGGGCTCTGGCCCCGACCCCGGCGATACGAATACTCGAGCGCACGTATAATAGTCTTAATTAAAATAGTGGTCTAACGAACACCGCTAACTGCGGTAATCCGACGTGCCTCATTGGTAATCCCCCGACCGTGCCACTGAACACGAATGCGTTACGTTGCTTAACATGGCTCCGGCACGATCGACTGCCTCGGGCCGCCTGCCTCGCTGCAACCCCCGAAACTGCGACATCAACCGGACGTACGTGCCACGATCTGACACCTTCTCGCCCCGAATATCACGCCAATCATCGACGCCCGCCGGAACCCACTCCAAACACCACCTCCGCGGTACCACACTGACCATGACTGAACCAATAACCACCAATTTTCTAGAAATCGTGCGCCAAGAAGATAGGAATTAAGAGTATCATAAGAAATTTTGTACCTCGACGTACGGTTTAATGTGTACTTTTTCAAGCGTGTACTATTTAATTTTGTCTAACTTTGAACGCTGAGTCAGTAAGGCTTTCTAGCAGGCCCTGCCTTAGACGACTAGGATATTGGGAGTGTATACATATACATATAGTCACAGTTCGTACAAGGAATGACCACGAAAAGGAGTAGCTGTGTTTTACGAATACCTCGTGAACGTAACAATGTGTTGATTTTAATATATAAGACTTAATGACCAGCGAGTCTCGTTTGATTCAGTATTTAATTTAGTTTAATTTGTTCGCGAACGAGAAACCACACCCGCTTAGCGAACATTTTAAGCAACGTGTTTTAAAAGGAGGAACGAAACGGCGAGCGTCGAGTCCGCAGAATATTCGAGCATCCGGAGGAACCGAGGTCGAAGTTTATCGCGTCGAGCGTTCGCCAAAAATTCCCCAGGCCGTAATGTTGCCGTCCGCAGGAGGGACGAGTCCATTTGTTCGGTCCCAGGAGCGTGTAACCAGAGTCTAAGTTCGAGCTTAGAAGGCGCGCGAACGATATAAGATAGAAACAGAGGGAAAGAGATGCGAAAATGACCGCATTCCCTGGAATTGGATTTCGTTGGGGGAAGGAGAGGGTGCTCGCGATCCGGAAAGTTAATGCAGCCTGGGCCAAGGGAGCTTCCAGACAGCTCGGGACTGTGGTTAATTCTACGGTGGCCTGGCTGAGCGCGAAACAAGGACGAAGGGGAGGATCCGACACGGGACGGTGATCCTTTTCGAAGTCCGACGCGAAAGGTTTTCTGAAAGGGTCCCCGAAATCGAACGTGCCCGTCGATTTCGCTGAATACCGACCCGACTTTGGCCACATACCGTGGAAAACGTATTTTATCGTATCAGATATGTAGGATGCATAAAAGGCGCGTTTAAATAGGTTAGCGTGGATATCTTGCATATGGATGTTCGGAGAATCTTTCAATGCGCTCGCCACTTTCATAGTCGTACTATTTATTTCTACTTTTAAGATAATTAACACATTCTGTCCGTAATATCTTGGAGACGTTTTTTCAGTGGTAGCAAGATTCGACGATCATCGCTTTCGAATAACCAAAACTCGATCGAAAGTGCATTGAAAAGTAAGTGTATAAATGGCAGATAAATGCAGTCGTAGGAATCGAATGTTTGCATTTTTATTTGTTCGTTTAGCCGAATGGAATAATAACGAGGCCGACGCAATCACCGAACGGCGAGAAAAGTGATTCTTGGTGGCGGTCGATTAATATTCGCGATGGCCGCGCGTAGCCAATTCGTTCGCGGCTCGAGCGTTAAATAAGTAAAAATGTAAACAACAAACTAGACCGTTGAAAAATTAAAGGCCGACAACCGGGTCCCGGTCTCTCGCGTACCGGACAAATCACCGGGAAATAAAAACGGCACGCGCAAACAGTGGACCGCGCGCTCGGCGATCGTGACGCGCGATAGTTGCGTCTATTATCGCCCCGAGTAATATTTAAAACTCCCCTCGATTGATATTTACATTAACTCGGAAACGGGAGCCGATTTAACGAGACTTTTTTCCCAACGATTCGCGGCGCTGTAATAAAAATGAACGCGCCGACGAAAACGCCCTCGTAAACTCGATTAAACTATAAACGCGTCGTTCGCGGGGAACTTTTTTGCTTTGATTTGCATATCTGCGCCCGCGAAACCGATTTCGTGTAACTTTACGGAGCTCACTACACGTTTTTTAATTTACGTCATTTCGTACGCGAAATTTGTATACTGTAGGGTTAATTCAGAAAGACCTTATGTTTTTTGGCTAGCTAATCTGTTAAATTGTAGTATAATTCGTCTGATTGAACGTGGATATATTCTACTGATACGACCAAAGCGTTCGACCGACACCACGTTGATCTCTTCTACTTGACTCTTATTTTATTCATAATTATATTTTGCAGAGATAGTGAATCTAGTATATATAGTGTAATTCTGTCAAGAATAATCTGATCGAACATTGATATACAGGGTGTTCGGCCACCCCTGGGAAAAATTTTAAAAGTTATTAACGTTTAAAGTTCCGCTCGTACTGAATTTTTTTCTCGAAAATGCGCAAGATTTCGGGGGTATGTGTAACGACCAAAAATGATTGTAATTGACCCTCGCAACCGAAAATAATTTTTTTAGAACGATTTGAAATCTTTTTTTCGCTGAAAAATTTAAGGGGAATGGGTGTACGTCTGGTCAGACATATTTTCAGTAATGAATTTTTTTCTCGAAAATGCGTAGGAAATCGAGGGTGCGTCTATTCAACAAAAATGATTGAAATTGACCCCCGCAACCGAAAATAATTTTTCCAGAACGATTTGAAATTTTTTAATTTAATTGTTAATAACTTTTTAACGAAGCCTCCATCAACAAATTGGTATTCTTGATTTTCGTCTTATTTTGGGCTCTAGAATCCCTCATTAAAATTTTTCCCAGGGGTGGTCGAATACCCTGTATACAGACTCGGTTAAGGCGTCTGTCTGACCATACGTTGATCTCTTCTACTTATCTGCTCCTGTTTTATTCGTAATTATATTACACAGAGATATTTGGCTAGTGTATCTGTTACATTGCAGCGTAATTTCGTCAAGAATCGTCTGGTAGAGTTGATATTGTAGGATATTATTACATAATAAACGTGTGAATCGTATGTATCTGTGCCTGAATGAATTTCTTAAATATGTTACACGAACTGTGATCGATTGCATCCTGGATGGATGAATAGAGTGAGAGCGACAAGAGTGACCTGTGCTATGGTATGAATGATATGTGATTGACACGATACACAATTTTGTAATATTCTTCTATGTCTCGATGATTTTAGAATTCATCGTAGGTCGCAAA